CCCTCCTTTCACAAGTCCTCTTTATTCATTCATATATAATTTTTATTCCTCATTATTTTTTTTATTTATTCCCAAATTTCATCTTTCTCCCTTCCTCTCACTTTTCTGTACATTCTCTCATTCTTATAAATTCAGGTGCATAGGATGCACCAGAGTCCTACATGCAACATCCTTATCCCTGGTCTATGCAGCTCCAACCCTCATTCATTCATTCATTCATTCACTCATTCGTTCATTCTTTCACTCGCTCATGCATTTGTCCTTTCGTTCTTATTCTGGGTCTTCTTTTACTTATTAGGTCTCCTGTGAAATTGTATTAGTCAAAACCCCATGTGCAAAATGAACCTCACTGGCCCATGAATTTATTTTCCCTTGCAATCTTTCTTCCCTGCATTTAGTCACCTTTTACATTCAGTATTTATTATTTTATTTATGTACCTCGATTGCATATATTTTACTGCAGTGGCTGTTTCTTTGGCCAGTGTTTTCTCAATTTTTCATTTATTCTTTGAAAGGTGTAATGTATTTATCTATTTAAGGAGTATGTGTGTAAACCAATTATAATCCCCGTTCAGACAACCTCTTAACTAGCCATTTATCATTTTGGGTGTTTATTTATTGTTTCCTTTTTTGCCTTTTTTTTTTTAATTCTCATTTTCCCTTGCCCTAGACACAGGATCGGATGATCTCATCCATCTTTAGGACTAATGATGACCCATTACCAGCCCCAACAGGCTTTTCTATCTGAGACCCACCCATGTTACCTTTCTACGGGGGTTTTTGGTGGGGGTTTTCCTTCTCCTTCACTTCGTTTCATCTTGCTTTCCTCATCTCTTTCTTTAACCCCGATGCTTTTTTCTTGCGTCTGTTCATGTTTAGGGGCCACAGGTGACATGCTCCCTAGAGTGACATGAACATCCATCCCATGGCAGCCCAGCCCTGGCGGATGCTGGCACAGCCGTTTCCAAGGCAGCCGCTCAGATATCTGTTCATCCTTCCTGTCACTCCTTTATTTCAATATTTATCTTTTTATCTATGGGCCTCAGGTGCACAGAATTGGATTAACCATCATCTGTGGTTCCTGGAGCCTTCTCAGCACCTGTCCGTGGGGCGCCCTTTTGCTTGTTAATTTCTTGTACTGGTGCTTGGCTTTAGGGTTTATTTAATTACATCAAAAGCCCAGTTTTCAATCAGTCATAATTTGGGGGTCCAAGATATTGTCTCATTTTTTTGTTCTAGCATGGCCCTCTCTCTCTCTCTCATACATATGTGTGTGTGTATACATACATATATACATATATATTCACTTAATGTTTTTATTGCTTATATTCATCTTGTCATAATTTTCTATGCCTCCCATTCCTTGTTTTCTCAAATCATCATTTTTTATTCATTTATTCACACAGCCATTCCTCTGCTAATTCCATCTTTCGTTTTAGCCACGTGGGGTTTTTTTACTGTGGAAACTCACTTTTTATTACTAATTATATTTAATGAATATTTGTTCATTATATTTAAATACTTATCTAGTAAGTGCCTTTTCCCCCACACGTCTATTTTAATTTCTTTTCCTACATCTTTTTTCTCCCAGTCTTTCCTTTTATTTTTAAACTCTTTTTCTTGCTCTCTCATGGAACACGTGGATTTATTCTCTGTGTCTTTTGCGTGTGGTATTGTTTTTATTATTTATAAACTTCGGGGCCACAGAGTTGAATTAATGTGGAAAATCAGTGTTAAACCAGTCCTCTCTCATACATGGTAGTTGTTTGGCCTACTTATTTATTCTTTCTTACTCCTTTTATTTATGTTGATTTTTTCCCCATCTTAATTGGTTTTTCTACCAGTCTTTCAATCTTTCTTTCTTACTGCCTTTCATTCTTTTGGAGGCCAGGCACCAGAGATTGGCTGAACCCTAACCCCCTCTACAACCTCTCCTCATCAGTCAATGCAAATCTTTTTCTTCATTCTTTCCCTCATTCATGCCTTCATGCATCCATTTAGTCTTTCTACTTAAATTGTTGTTTTTCCGCTTCTGGATGACAGATGCAGCTAATTGGATACACGATAATCTGTAGTCAATGGGTCCTCCCCTCCCTGGCCTCACGGTGGTCCTCCCTTATGTGTGTCAGCTTTGAACTGTTTCCTGGGTGGGTGGGTGGTTGCCCATGTCAGAAGCACAGATGTGAATTAATCAGAGTTTGGTTCATGCACCCTCATTCTTATTCCTAGAATGGCTCTCTCTTATATATTTATTTGTTACCTAATTACCTTCTTCTTCTTTAGATAATTTTTACATTTCTCTCCAACTTTCACTATTTCTCCCCTTCACTCTCTCATTCTTTCTTTCTTTCTTTCTTGGAGCTCAGCTGCCATGGTCGGATAAATCCCACTGCCACCTGCAAACACCCTCCATGGCCCCCACAGGCCCAGTCTCATTAATTCCTTCTGTGCTTCCTTCAACCACTCATCCATTCATTCTTCCTTCCTGTTTTCTTTCTTTTTATTAGGTATTTACTCCTCTGCTAGTGAATGGAGAGCTCAGATTTGGACCAGTAGTGATCCAATTTGTGAGGGCCCCTCATTACCAGTCCTAGCTTAACCCTCTCCTGAGGGTCTACCACTTGTTCATTTAGTCACTGTCCCTGTTTATTCTTCCTGTCTCTTTTGTTACAGCTTTCTATATCCCCCCTTTCTCACTTGACTTCTTTCATTCTCCTAGAGCTTCTGCCCAGAGGGAATTCATGAACCTCCACCGTCCCCCCGACTCACCCACCCAACCTCTCATCAGGAGTGCTGTCCTTAGGGTCTCCTCTCCTTGTGTATTGATATGCTTACTATTTTATTGTCAGCACTGCAGTTTTAGACTTGGATTCACCCTACCCCTTGATTCATGGCAGTCTTTTACCTCTCCTCTTAGCATCAATACACCCATTAATGTACTTCTGTACCTAACACCTGCTACTTGTTCTTCCCTATTTCTGGACTTGTATTTAGATGTTTTATTTATCCTCTTGTTCTTTCATCATTTCATGCAGCGGACCTCAGCTCCCAGGGACTGACAACGCAAAGCCCCTCACACCACATGCCCCACCCAGGGCCAGGTGTCTCACTGCTCACCCAGCCCTTCTATGGCTCCTTTCTTTTTGGCTTGCTTTCATTTCAGTATTTATTTATTTATATGCACCCAGAGTTAAAAACCACTGTTGGTTAAAGTTACTTCTCAGCTGTGGTCCCCTGAATCCTCCTTCCTCTTTAATTACTCTTTTAACTTCCTCTGTTGTTTATTTTCTATGCCAGGAGCACCTACTCAAATTAATCAGCTGATAATAACCCGACATAGTCCTTATATTTACTCATCTCCTAATTTTTAAAAGTTATCTTTCTAAGGACACATGTGTAATAACTTAATCAATAAAAAACATTTTTTAAAGTTATCTTCCTTCCTTTTCTTTAATTTTTTGCTTCTCGCCATTTTCTTTCTCCCTTTCAATCACCTGTCCCTTCTCTCCAGCATCTGTCCCACCTGGACGGGTCTCAGAACCTCACCATTGGTTTGTGGGGTTTTCCACAGTAATTTTCTCTTTATTTTTTTAATTTTTACCTTTTTGACAAAAAGCTGTACAATAAATGTACACATGCACATCAGAACTTGGAGATAAGTGTGCACTGTGAAACCATCACTACAATCTGTGTCATAAACTTGTCCATCGCCTTGAAAAGTCTCTTCTCACCCTTGTATGTGTTATTACCATTTATGATAACAATGCTTTACATAAAACCCACCCCCTTAGCAGGCGTTTACACATACAATACAGTACAGTCACCATTGGTTTATGCATTTCTACTTCCTTCTTCTTTCCTTTACTTAGCTTTTATTCTTTTGTTGAAAAACTTTAGGTGCTCTCTATTTGAATGACACATATTCCTTGGTCCATGATGACCTGATACCAGTTCGTGTGCGGCCTTATTTACACATTGATTCAGTATTTGATTGACTTACATAGTAATCTCCATTGGATCTTGTTCAGCGTACACTCTCATTCTGGCTCATGGCTTCTTTACCTATTTGTTTATTCATTCCTTCATCGGACCAATAAAATCACCACACCTTAGGCCTTTTTTTTTTTCCTTCCCGAGTTAACCACCAAGACCAGGGTGTGCACAACCCACAGTCCTTAGCACATTCACATGGCAGGAGCAGGCACAGGTATAGTCAAAGTTAGTGTAGCCTAGACCCACTGGGGACAGGGCGGGCACATCCCCCCAGCCCTGTGAATGGCTATCCCATGAGAAAGCAGTTTCAGGCCCCGGGAGTACACGCAGAGACACACATGTCGTACCCGGTCTCCCCGGTGGGAAACAACAGATATGGAGTTCATTTTTAAATAGGCAGCTTTGTTTGTAGCAATATAAAAATATTTTGGCCTTTCAAGGCAAATACAAAAGGAATGACCCATTACCATTGCCGAGTGTCTCAGTTCTCAACAATAAAGAACTTGAAGAGGTTTAGCCGGACACCGTGAAGACAGAAAATCTGCCCATTCTGTTTTCCAGACATTTCAAGGGGGTGAGCGAGGTCATTGAGGCTGCAAGCCCATTTGAAAGGCAGGTCCCTCGGCCCGAGCGCTTTCAGTGGCCTGTGAAGGCCCCCAGCTCAAAAGGGCACTTCCATCGTAGGCTGCCCTGCAGCACAAGAGCCATAGGGACACTCGGGAATGAAAGGGCCATTCATTTCGAGGAGTGAAAGAAATTCTTTTAGGGTCTGGCACTCGAAGCCGCCTATAGAATTCTTTGCCACAACACAAGAGGCTGGAGGTCCTGCCTTAGAACATGAGCCCCCCAAGGTCCTCATTCGACTCACTCGCTGAGCGCCCACCTCCCTGCAAGCAGACCAGTGCTCAGCAGTCCCTCCCACAGGCTCGCCTGGCAGTGTGCGGAGTGGCGGCCCCCACCCTCAGTGACAAGGCCACAGGTGTGCACTCGGCTCTCCAGGAACTTACGATTTCGCAGGTGGAGGGTGCGGGGGCTTGTGTCTGAGGTCCCGTCCCACGACGAATTCCGGACGATGGCTTCGTCTGGAAAGACAAGGCACTAGTCACCGAAGAGAACCTCATCCAACGAATGGAGCAAGGACTCCCCAACGTCTAGCCAAGTATGGAACTGGTGACGCCAAGCATCCCTCTTTGTAATACACTGGTCACGCACTCACCTGCCTGCCGAGCTCCCCACCCCAACTTCGGCCACAGATGGAGAGGACAGGGCAGGGGACAGCATGGAACGTGGCTCCTGCGGTTGGTGCTGCCCATGGACTAAGTTCTGTTTTGTGAAACCCAAGAGTTTAGGGCCACTGCTCAAGGGAGAGCTGAGCTGGACAACAAAAGCGTGGACGGGATGCTCCCTGGAAGGGCACTCTGCCTGGCTGGAAGGGCAGAGCAGCCATCGGCGTGTGCTCAGGGAGATGTCAACAGTGCAGCCAGGTGACCAGCAGAGCAGCAGGCCCGGGATGACACAGAGAAGTGGGTTGTGGGCGGCATTAAGGGTCCCTGACTTCAAGCATTTGCCTTAAATTTTGAGTTTAAAGAAAGTGAGTTGGGTAGTGGCAGGTAGGGTTTTTATAGAGTTTTCCCTCCGCGTATACGGGGGACTGGTTCCAGGACAGCCCTCAGATACTGAAATCCGCGGGTGCTCTGTCCCTCACCCGAAGTGGTGTAGTGTTGGCGTGTCACCCATGCACACCCTCCCGCAGACTTTAAATCACCTCTAGGTTGCTTGTCATGCCTCATACAGTGTAAATAATGTGTACGTAGTTGTTACAGGAGATTGTTTAGGGAATGGCGACAAGAAAAAAGCCTGTGTGTGTTCAGTAGACGCAGCCAGCAGCCACTGTAGGCCTCACGACACAACACACGCTGTCAGCAGCAATGTGACTATTTTCCCAAATATTTTCAATCCACGTGGGGTTGAATTCATGGGTGCAGAACCCATGGATCCAGACAGCCAACCGTATATTGGCTCATCGATTGTAACAACGTGCCACACTAATGCAAGATGCTAATGGCAGGGGAAACTGGGGGTGTGGGGGTTGAAATGGAATTCTCTGGATTCACCACTGATTTTTTCTGTAAACCTAAAATTACTCAGAAGAAATAGTCTATTCATTACAAATTTTTAAGTGAGTGGATTTTGAACATACATTGATTAGAGTCTAGTGAAGGTAAGTAGGTGTGGCCAACAGGTGGTCTGCAATGGCTGAGGTTTGAACAGGGGAGAGGGCGGAGCCTGAGACTGGGGAGAGAATGAGAGGGCGCAGGCTGCCCCTGGCCCTCCAGGGAACCCCAAGGAAAAGGCTCTCGCCAACTCCCCTGCCCTGACGTAAGCCACTGGGGATACCCCTGCTGCCTTTGCCTCTCCATTCCCTGCTGCATCTCTCACTGGGGCCCCCAACATCTAGACGGGGCACTGGAGATACACCTTTTACCTCTAAACCCTCCTCAAAACTCCTTCCCTGGTCTTGAGCTTCCCAAACACTGTTACTCCCCTAATGGGTTGCTTTTCTATCCAAAAAAAAAACAAAGTCTTTTAAAAATAAGTACTGATGAAGCAGTGACAGCTCGTGAGTGCCCGAGGGCGGACTGGATATCTGAGGGTTCCGGGACCTCTGTTTGTGCAGGATACCTACCACCTGCGATGTGCCCCACCCTCCCAGGAGCCCGAGACACCTGCGGTGGCCCTCCCACCACCCACGCTGCCCTAAGAGGACAGAGGGACTCCAGAGCCTGAAACTGCAGCAGGACAGACCGCGGGCACGGCCACTTCCCCCCGGACAGGAGCAAGGAAGTACTTTGGGGATTGTTCTGCTCTCTTAGGTAGTTTGATGGGACCTGCTTCTGCTGGGGGTGGGGGACCATGCGCCCTCAGAGTTCCTGGTTGCCCTGGATGAACTTTCATGCAGGCCCCAGGCTGCTCTGGGAAGACGCAGGCCTGGATTTGCGTGTTGTGCTAATAACACGGTCCTGGGCTGAAATCTTAACAAATGTCAGAGAAGCTGCAAAGATGAGCCAGTGCCTGGCGCCACAGGAAAACACGAGGTCCCCTTACGGGGTCCAGAGGGACAACTGTCACACACTGGTGCCTGGGAGACCTCGGAAAAGGGTGTGCAGAACTCCAGATCCACCCAGAAGGCACCGTGGACACACCCCCTATCTCCTCCCCGGCTTAATGGGGTTAGAACATTCTGGTTCAGCATCCCAAGATCTTTAAACTCACTCTTTTCTGGAGGCACATGGAACCTAAGTGATCTGACCTGTCTTTGGGGACAAATCACTGGATGTTTAGAGCCCGCCCTGAGACGAAGGTCTGTGCAGAACTCATTTCCTGGACCTTTGTGAGGGCCAGGGCCCTGTGCATTATGGGCCCATTTACAAAAATGAGAGCGGTAATTGGAAGATCTTTTGAAATCCTGTCCCCTCTCTCTGTCGCCGGCCCCCTCAGCCGCCTCACCCCCCTTGGTGGGTGGTGAAGGATGTTTACATATGCCTCTTCCTGGAATTTCACTCTTTGCTCCAGGAGTGGGCAATTAGAGAGAATTAGGGCCTATTTGGCGTATGGGTACCGTTAATGGATAGAATGGCAGAGGCAGCCTTGGGAAAGGCAGTCTGCTGGTCTAATTGAAGCTGGCAATTTTTTGATTCCTTGTTTCAGCTCGCAGGTATTGTAGTAACCAAGGTCACCAAACAAAGCGCAGCCCACCATGGTAATGACGGGTGCAGCCTGACCGAGGCTCCGGGAGCTGTTTATTGGCGCCCACTGAAGCACAAAGAGATGGCTGGGAATGTTTGCAAAGCTGGGGCTGAGGCGCGCAGCGGCACAGGGCCGCTTGCTGATCACTTTTCCAGAACTTGCCACCCCGATGGCTTCTTCAGGAAGTTCTCGGCGGAGCGGGCCAGGCTGCCAACTGGGGTGTTGTGTGTTGCCAAGGGTCTCGTGACCCAAAGGCCCAGGGCGAGCCACGGGGGAGGTGTGGCCGCCGCACCCTCCTGGGACTGCAGCCGCGGGCCGGTCTCATTACACAGGGACCGCTCCACTGCCCAGAGGTTTTCCAGGACTGGCCGGCGGCCCACACATTTGGAAAAGTGCTCCATAAAATGCAATCCTCGCACCACACAGCCCCTTGGAGCGAGTGTGGGGCGTGAGCACTATTAGAATCTGTGTTCACAAGAAGCTGACCGGGAGGCCAGCTACTGGCTGCAACCCCACCGCCAGGCTGGTTGAGCGGAGCCAGCGTGACAACAGGTTCACAGCCAGGCCTGCCACCCTAAAGTATATCTCTTGGAAGCTAATGGACCAGTAATCTCAGCCCCTGACTCTAAAGACCCAGCAAACAAACAAACAGGCCACGGATGACCACCGAGGAAGCTGGAAGGGTCCCAAAGCAACAGGGGCACTCAGATAATGGTGATTAGGCACCGCCCCATTTCACAGATGGGAAAACTGAGTCCCAGAGGACTGGAGACAGGGGCCAACTGCAGTCAGTGCCATGCATAGGCTGGAACCAGGTGTCCAAAAGGCCTCTTAGGGCTGCTGCCTGACCCTGGGTCCCAAGAAGCTCTCCTCTGACCAGTCCCAAGTAGCAGGGGTGTGCCTTCATCCCAGTGCCAAGCTAGGAGACTTATGGGGGCCCAATCTGGACACTTGGGACCTCCGACCCGTCCCCTGGTAAAACAGGGCCTGGCCTGTCCAATACTGATACCCAGGCTTCTTCTGCCTCATGGATTATGCACACCTGACACGCTACTGCCTCACTTTACAGATGGGAAAACTGAGGTCCCGAAGCCAGTGGTCACAAAGACACCAGCCAAGACTGAGACCTGGGACTCCTTCCTCTCTTGCAGGGACTTTGCCCTGGTTCCCAGGGAGGGGACTCAAGCCCTCGGGGCGGTTTGGGGCAATGGTGGCTCTGTTTTCCCTCCATCTCAACAGGTCCCCTTGCTCCAGGCTGTTCCTGCTCCGGGGGGTCCCTACCGACTCTCCCCCAACTTTCCTGATCCCAGCACAGTTCCATGAATCCCCAGGTCGTCAGCCCCAACTTCTTAGCCTGGTGGGAAGGACTCTCTCCACCCGGGGGTGGCCTCAACGAAGGGCCAGGAGGCGGCAGGAGCCACGCAGCTGCGGCCCTGGACGGCCGGCACAGACATGCGGTCAGCCTTTGGCCCCCTGACTGTCCTCCTTCCCCAACTTTCCATCCTGGAGTTTTGTCCTTGGCCCCATTCTGTCTCTCGGGCGTCGGGCCCAGTTTGATCAAATTCTTGTTTATAGGCACAGCCACTGATTCTTCCTCCTGAGAATCTCGCAAAAAGAAAGCCCTAGAACAGGGAGCGCGAGCACGGCCGGGGTCACGCGCTGGCATGGCTGGCTAAGCACGCCTTTGTGTCGCCTCTTGTCTGCGTCTCTGAAGACACACACAAGGGCAAGGGAGCCCGCGGGGGCAGCAGCCCCCAGAGGGGACACACACACACACTCCCACACCCTCCTCCTCAGGGGAAGGTAATTGAGGTTTTCTTCTTTTCATCTGAAGAAAAGGCACCTTCTATTGAAAGAATGTATTCACAGACCTGGGAAAACTCATCTGCACTCAGCCCTCCCAATTACCCCAGGTGGCTGTTCTCCACAGGGCTCCCCCACATTCCATTCTGCCCGCGCCTTTGTTCCCAGCTGAACCGGCCCTGGGAGCTCCCAGGCTAAGAGTCTCCTCCTTAAGCCCCTGCCAAAGACCCTATTCACTGCGCAGAGCGACGCCAAGCAAAAGGTGGTGGGGAGCCTTCCTTGGCCCCGACCCCCAGGATGGGGGATTTAAGAAGTCTCCATCTGGATTTTTTTTCTAAGCCCAAAGAAATTGGAGAGCAATTAAGAGAGTCATGTCTATACCCTCCGCCATCCTTTCCCTTAATTAACTCCTCTCTCACACACATCCCCCCAAGGTGGGGCCACCCTGGCCTCAGCCACCCAGCACCTGCTCTGCTCACTGGTCCCCGTGACCACCGAGGTCTTAGGCGGGCAGGGAGCTGAGAAGACGAATAGAGACATATCTGGAGACTTTCTAATCACCCTGAGTTCCCCCAACAATGGCTTGAGCGATCCGTTTTCCAATGAAGACTGGAATATGGGTCCAAGTGTCTAAAACGCACTAGGGAGGCACTAGAAGTGCCAGGATGTATGGGCACCTCAACGATGCCCCTCCTAGGTACCAGGCAACTTGCCTTGGCAAAAGTACGGGGTCCCCCCACCTCTATTGGACCCAAGTGAACTTGGGACCCCTCTCCCTGTCCCGTCCTACTGCAGTGCCCGGGTACCCAGGAGGGTACTGTAGAGGGCTCCCTCCCTTCGCACCTTTCCTGACTCTGAGACACTGAGCCGGCGCTGCTGGTTTCTACACTGGCCGTGGCCCTGTAACTCTGTGGGACCTTAATTTGGGTCCGTTCTGTGTAACGCCACCTTCCCCCCTTTTTTTTTAATTCAAGGAAAAATTGTGTAAATTCTGTGTAAAGCCACCTTCCTCTTTTCAAGGAAAAATTCATTAGCAAGCTCATTAGAGATGGACGGATTCTCCTTTTCTTTCTGGACGTCAGATTGCACATAAAAACACGGCTAAGTTTCTGCATGTAAATGAATGAATGAGAAACACATGCATCGAGCTGCCCTGGGTCTTGCCAGGCTTCGACATGACTTGGAGAAATGTGCTTGGAAAGACATTTGGGGTTTGAATCACGAGTCAGGAGGCACCAGGGCAGGGACCCTGGAGGCTGCACTCAGCCCCACAAGCAAACCTGCAGGTGGGCAAACTGGGGGGTGCCAAGAGGGAGCACCTTCTCCCTCCCCACGAGTCTAGCGACTGGGTGACACACGGCCCCTCTCCCTTGCCCCTGGGGAGGCAGGCGGGGCGGGAGGGCCAGCTTCCAGACAAGGCCACCGCCTCTTCCCCGACATCTGTGCCCATCCGGAAGCATCCGGGTAGCAGCAGACCCCGGGGAACAGCTGAGTATAAGGACAAAATGGCCAGAAAACTGCCACCCACCACCACGACAGAGTCCTCTGGCTGTTCCGGGTCTCATGTCTACCCCTTACTGCTCAAGGGCGGACCGATCCACCGGAAAAGAATTCTCCTGAAAATGTTTTTTGACACTTAACAACGGCCCTTCTGCCATTCCTGGGATGACTGGGATGCAAGGCTGATTTACGATACATTCAACTTCTTTCATTGAGAATTTGATCTGTTATTATCTATTTTGTGCTTATGCCACACAAACCCCAACACGTGTATTTGCCTAGAATTGACCATTCACAAGTGTACCTGAAATACAGCTCGGCCCAAAGCCCGGCCACCCTAAACTACTGAGCAGGGTGAGGGGCCAAGTCTGGAACTGGCTGGGCACTTGCTCTCACCTTGACTCTGCCCCTCAGCTCAGCCCGCCCTGAAGGAGTCCTGAGATGGCCCTAAGGAAGAATCTAGAAGCCCTGGGCATTTGCCTCAGGCTAGCTCCACGGACCTCTCCGGTAAGCTCCGGATCGAGCCCCCCAGGAGTTCTGTGTAAAGTTCCCGCCCCCGCCTGTCTTCCTCGGCACCGTGTTTGCAGGTGGCTTGGCAAATGCCAGCTGTGGAGTAAATATCACAGGGCACCATCTTCCTGGGGCCCCTCCCTGGGCTTAGCCCTGGGCACACACACCCCACCTCTCTCCAGCCTGCCGGGCTCCCCCAGGAGCGAGAACAAGCACACACGGGCAGCAGTGCCCAGGTCCGCGTCCCTCGCCCCTCTCTGCCTACACCGATGTGTTTTATTTCAATATCCGCACCCCGGTTCCATTTCGGGGAGGAGGCGGGGCTGTGAAGGGGCTGCCTTGCAAATGCATTATGGGTGCTGCATGGGACCCCAAGGCATCTGGGGGACTGAATCTGATTCACCCTGGCCTACAGGTCTCCCTCACCTCCCGGCTGGACGCCTGGCAGTCTGCGCTCACCGTTCACCCAGCAGCTCCCCCAGGAGCAGCAGACGAGAGGCTGGCCAGGCACAGGGCCAGCCGCTCACCGGGACACCCCCACTGGGCTGCCACCTCTGAAAACCCCCAGTGTCCCTCCATGGGACTCAGGCTTCACCTTTTCCTGAACTCGGCCACCGGGACCCCAGAAAGGAGGGTGCCGGCCGCAAAGCCTCTTCTCTTCCTATCACCTTGCTGAGCTGTCCCCATCGCTGCGTGCGACCTCCCAGGACACCCAAGTGGACCCTCTGGGCCTGCAGGCAGACCTGATCTCGGGCACCGCAGAAGGACCCCCGCCCTGAGCGCCCAGGCGGCGCGAACGAGGGAACCGCGGAGAGTCGGATGACGCCTGGGCTGGTGTGTGGCTGCAACCCCGCTTTCTTCTTCCTCCCCACCATCACTGATTGTGTGTAAACAAACACAAACATTCCCGTCTCGCTGCAACTTCAGGGGGAAGGAAAAGAGGCCAAGAGGAGGACTCACTCAAAACCACTATTTGATTAAAGGACATTATCAAAGCCTCGTGTGCGAGGAGCCCGCATTCCCTCAGGGAGTGACGTTGCCATGGCTTGGGGCAGAAATGTTTTTCTAGCTGAGGAGCAGACAGGCATGCCTACTGCCGCGTCTCCACAAGTGGGGGGTGCTCGAGAGAGAGAGCAGTGCACCCTCCTTCATCTCATGAACACGCTCAGTGAAGCTTTGTTGAGGACCTATTATGTGCCTGACCCTAGCCGGCTCTCGGGGCCCAGACCAGAGTTGGACGCTCCTCACTTACCGTATGGGGGGAGGGGGGCGGGCGGGGGGTGCCCACAGCATCCGGTCAACCAGGTGGCCCCGTCACACGCTGGCTGGTGGGGCTCCAGGCAGCAGCCAGATTCCCAGGCCCCGAGTTGGAGTAGATGGTCGTGATCCCCCCAAGCTAAATGTGTACATTCTTGAATGTGAGGTGGACTTAACACATTTTGTACCGCCCAGGAGTTTTCTCGTGTTTTGTGCGCCCTCTGTTAAGGACCTCTCACGAGTGTTCTCGTTTTTCACGCCCATGGAAAAAGCAGCGAATCTAGATACTTATGTAAATTTTGTTTGGTCCCTCTTCATAGAGGAAAATGTTTTACGCGGTACCATAGGTTAAAAAAGTACTAGGAACGTTAATTGTTTAATTGTTTAAGTAAATAAAAATGTTATAATTATTGAAAAACAACACCTAAAGTGCATTATGAGGATTTAAATAACGTGCAGTTTGCCCAAAAACGTGTGGTCCCTGGCGCGTGTCTTAGAGATTTCTATGCGGTACGCAATGTGTTAAGGAAATCTTGGTGTTTCAAGAAAGCAAAACACTCACCCCAAACCAGGACGGAGGCGAGAGGCTGGGCGCGGGGTTGGGAAGGAGGGCTTGGTCCAGGGCGGTGTCCTCCGGAGGCTCTTCTGCCTCTTCTGTCAGTTCTTCAGCTGACCCGGCCCCGGGTCAACCTTGGGGAGGGACAGAAAGTTAGAATACAGCGAGGCCAGCACCCCAGAAAAGCCACACTCCAAGAAGAGGCAGAGCCGTCTCACCAGAAGTCTGGTTTTCGGTGGAGGGAGGTGGCTCATGGGAATGAGCAGTGATGGGAAAAGCCAAAGGCCAGGGTGGCAGCTCCCAAACCAACTGGAGACCTGGGGTGACGTGGGGTGAGCAGGGCTGGGGACTCACAGGGGCGGGGCAGGCCATGGGATGACCTGCTTGGGGACAAGGGATCTGTGAGGGAAGGAGGCAGGACCGAAGGTTGCGCAGACCCTGGGAAGCCAGGCAAGTTGGAGTAGGTATTTGAGGGTGTTTGCGGGAGGTAGCATGCCAGCAGGGGCTTGTCCCATAGGCACTGGGGGCCTGTTGGCAACCTGGGCAGCAGGATGGAGAAATGGCTCCTTGGGCTGTGGGGTGTCTGGACCTAGCAGCAGGGCCAGAGGAAGCAGGTGAAAGGTGGGTGATGCAATGTAGCAGCAGGGGCAGGTAAGACAGCGGGCTGGCAGCTGAGGCCCACAGGGTCATAAGCCAGGTGAGTCGGGCACAGAGAAGGGGAAAGCAGAGCTCCTAGTGGGCAACAGACCAGGGGAGGAGCCGCCAGGTAGAGCAGACAGGTAGGCAGCCAAGCGGAGGCAGAGCCTACCCAGCTCCCTGGAGGTTCCCAGCCACCTATCCTTTGCATAGGACAGTCTCTAGCCAAAGGAGCTAGATTTAGCCCCAGGCGGGAGGCAGGTATCATGGAGGGAGGGGTCCAGCTCAAGGACCCCAACTCAAGAGGGAGACCATGTGGCCAGAGCCCAAGGGTACACATACCACATTCCGGGGTGCATTCAGCTCTGGGCTGAGTCGGGGAGGCAGAGAGGGCAGGAGAGGCTGGCTACGTAAAGGTCACCGGGCAACTGGCCCAAAGGCAAACCAGGCCAGCCCCTCGCACAGTCCCGCTGTCCTGCCTTCTACAGAGCAGTCGCTGCGCCAGTGCTGGGAGGCCAGGCCGCCCTCGGCAACGACACCCCCCGGCCCGCTCTCCCGAGGGCAGAGGCCATCAAGGGACCGGCTAGTGTGGCGGGTGCTCAGGCCGGGCCGGGCTATGGGCTAGCTCAGTAATGATCAACTGTTGGATGAAGGTTGGCCGCGTGAGTGAATGAAGGGGCGAGACCGGCAAGGCCCCTGCTCAAGTGGGGGTGCCCACCCCTCCCTAAATTGAAATCCACTCTCCATCCTTTTGACCTACATGTAACTCCTAGCATCCCAACAACTCCTCTAGCAGCCGAGGTCCTTCGTTGACTCACCTGCCCAAACAAACAAACATCCCACATACTTTTACTGAGCCCCACGTGTGCCAAGCTGGTGCTGGGACACCCAGAGGAGGTGTGGGCTGGCCTAGGGCACCCCCAAAACACTAGGTTAGGAAGTGGCGATGGAGGGGTGAGGGAGGAAAGAAGGTAGCATGAAGAACAGAGGTGGGAACAAGCAAAAACAGGAAACCAAAACTCAGAATAGCTGGAGAAGGGGGAGCATCTCTGGGTCCTACTCATCCTCTAGGATCCCACCCACCTGGCTACAGCCTCCTCCTCCATCACCGGACCCTCCAAGGTTGACCTAAGGATGGATGTGGAGAAGCGTGGGCTCTGGAGGTCAGGGGTCAACCCAGGAAGTCACCCAAGACCTCTGAGCTGGAAGAGTGGGACGCAGGGTCCCACGTGAACAAGCAGGTGCCACCCCTAAGGGAGCCGTGAGCTCAGACCCCTCTGCTGGTGAACACAGAAAAGCTAGAGACCAGCGGGCCCAGAAACCCAAGCAGGAGGGGAAGTGGGAGCCAGTTCCCCTAGGGCAGTGATGGCGAACCTATGACACGCGTGTCAGAGGTGACACGCGAACTCATTTTTTGGGTTGATTTTTCTTTGTTAAATGGCATTTAAATATATAAAATAGATATCTAAAATATAAGTCTTTGTTTTACTATGGTTGCAAATTTCAAAAAATTTCTATATGTGACACGGCACCAGAGTTAAGTTAGGGTTTTCCAAAATGCTGACACGCCGAGCTCAAAAGGTTCGCCATCACTGCCCTAGGGCCAGGCAGCTGGGGCTCCAGGAATAACACAAACCCCCAAGAACCTGGCCAACTAATGCCTTCCACCCCTCCTCAGGTGTTCAAATGCTGAAATACCAGTGACCTTGGGCTTGTATTTTAATTATCAGTATGAATTTGAGGTGAGAAGGGTCCTCTGGATTTTTTTTTTTCCCCTATTAAAATGCATCCTCTCATTTAGAAACCCCAGGAATTGTTCTATTCCTTTCCTCTCCAGTCCCCTCATCTGAGCAACATCTGGGTCACCTCTAAGGTAGGGCCTTCAGCCTTTTTATTGGGGAGCCGGATGCAAGCTGGTTTGGCTAACTGGGGAAGAGGGGCAGAACTCTGATTCAGGCCTTCAGCTGACAGGTAAGTGAAGGGAGAGGCGTAAATTTCCTACTAATCAAGTTTTAAAGCTCCAAGCACCCCGCTTCCCTCTTAGTTTTTTCTCCATTTGGCTGCAGGTCTGGCCAGAGCCTGAAGTGTAATTAAAATAACCTAATTTAACTGATTGATCTACCTCGGGGTGGGAAATGTCCAGAACTGGAGACACACAGGGCAAGTTTCAGGCTCTGGCCAGACCTGCTGACATTAACGGGCAGGGGGAGTTTCAAGTATCAGGATAGAAGGGGGTTCAGGTGGGACGCAGGCCGTATGAGAGGGGACAGGACATGTTCTGATGCAAGATCTATTGTAAAGTCCCCTTGGCAATCCTCTGCTGCTCTGAACCTCACTCTCCTCAGAATGCGGGACCGAAGTGTGAACGCCAAACCATGCCCTTCCAGGGGGGTGCCTTTGTGATAATTCCCCGGGCCCTACACCTGTGACATGGCATGCTTTTCATGTCCGGTGGATGCTGAAACAAGTGAGGTGCATGCTGGAGTGGGAGCCCTGGACCCCATGTCCTCATCTGTGAGGGACTCCCACAGGCAGGCAGCCCCTGGCCCAGGGCAGCTGCCCGCGGGGCCCAACAAAGGAACCTTCTGCAAAGCAACCCTCTCCCCAAAGCCGCCTTCCACGTTCAGCCCCGCTCAACGGGCCTCGCCAAGGCTTAAATGAGGAGCAAAGGAGCCCTGGGCCCCGGCCCCGAAATTACAAGTGTGGCCTTGGGACCATCGCCTCTGCCCTGCGGACGGCAGTTCACCTCATTATGATAATCAGTGTGTTTTTCCTTCGCAGACAAAGAAGGCTCCTTACGAGAGGAACACTGGAGCCCAGCAGCTCCCTCATTAGCGGCTGCAGCCTCTTCCTTGACAAGGTCCAAGACTAGCCCTGTGTTCATTAAGGGAAAAGGGCGGAAAGTGCAAGGAAACTGAAAAACACAGCTGGGGGGAGGGGAAGGGCTTTCTGTTGGCCATTCATTCATTGAAAGACTATGTGTACCTTCAGGACTTAATCACTAGCCGAGGGGCCAGGGAGAGTTTAACCAGGATGAAGGCGGTAAAGAGGTTAAACTTGATAGGAGTTAAAACCCCAAAACCGGGCAATTTGATTTGAAAGCTTCCTGGGACTTGTCACTTGGATCATTAATTTAAAACCTTTTTCCTGTTTATTTTAGCCCAACCCGACACTAGAGGAAACCTTTCCCTAGATGTGTTTTCCGTCGATGTTAATATTTTCTAAGTCCCCTTCCCTACTTTATTGTCTTTGGTGCCTTTGCTCATTCTTTTCTTTCTCTCCCACCTCTTCCTCCCCTCCTCCCCCCACTTCTTTCTTCTCTCTATGGTCCTCCCCGTGGGAACTTTACCTGTAAGAAAATCTGCTGGTGGCTCTAATTGAATTTTCTCACGAATACTTTAATGACCTTATTTCAAGTCCCTCAAATAGTGTCTGGTTCTTACCTGCAAGAGAGTTCGCCAGACCTGCCAGGTGAACATTATTAATCCTATTTTGCAACGGAGAAAAAAGTGGCTTGGAGAAACTGACCTAACTTAGGGCCTCAGCACTAGGTGGGTCAGCCAGGACTCAACTCCAAGGAGGGATGGTGAAAGGCAAGGTCCAGAAATTGGGAGCTCTGGCTACATGAGGTCCTACGAGAAGGGATGCTGGGTGGGGCAGGTGTCCCTGTGGATTTTAGAGGGAGTGCATGTCAACAGGTGTGAACCAGGGCCCAAGAGCCACATGAGAGGAAGACTGGAAATGTGTCCATGTGTCCATGAGCTGGAAACTGCCCAGGCTTAAGCTACAGAAAAGACATTACCTTAGTGAAAGCCGCTCGACGGAGTAGAGAAGGCAGGAAGCAGTGGATTGAAGAGGAAATTGGAGGTGAGGAAGGAAGACAGCAAGTGGAGACAGGCCTTTGGAGAAGCGTGGCTGTGAAAGGAAAGAGAGAGACGGTAGTGGCCAGACAGGAGGAGCCGGAGGCTCAGGCTGCAGAGAGAGCAGTTAGGAAGTCGGAAGGGATAACTGGAGACTGGAGGTGAGACAGGAATGACCAGTGCAGAGGACACCTCTTCCTTTACAACGCAAGAGGCAAGGGGGGTGCAAATGCGTGTGGACCCCAATCTGAAGGGCCCCTTGACAGCCTCGGATCCCCTGGGAGGCGGTAGGCCAGCCCCGGGTCGGGACAGGGAGTTGTGAGGTTCAAATGAATTGGCAATTGCAAAAAGGCCTTTGCAAACGGCAAAGGAAGACTTAACGTTCACTGTATTTACTCGCTGGTGGTGGGAGGCCTGAGTTTACAGCCCACTCAAATCTCACTGGGGCCTGGATTTCACTGACCATAAATTATGCGTCCTTACATTAAGGATGTAAAAAGCAGTGGCAAAAGCCTCTGGAAGACAAAAGGTTCCCTCCTAATAGCCTGGATTAACTCAAAGCAGATCTCCGCCCACTTCATTCGTCACCTTCCAAGTCACCCTTCCACCTTCATTTGCCATATAATCCAATCAGGCCCTTTCAGAGGCCCAGGAGCTATTGTCTACACCAAGCTGGGCTTCTCAAAGCGGCCTGCGTTGTTTTTGTCTTGTCTGGACAAAACTGCTTGGCTTAAAAGGGGACGAAAAGAAGTGCTGGTCAAATGAGGACCCCAATTAGCTTCCAAGAGACTGTTTGCTTCATCTTTGTGTCACGTACCAGGCCTGGTGTGCTGGGCATATTGTTGGTGTTCAGAAAAGGTTTGTTGAATTAATTCTGTTTTTATTCATTTTGAAATTTATTTATTGAGCGCACACACTCACAGCACCTACTGGGTGCTAGCCCAATTACTAGGGCCGGGCATGCGAACAATCAGAGTGTTAAGGACCTTGCAATTTCCACAGCAATTTGCAAAGCACTTTCCTAGTAGTGACATCATTTGGTCTTCAAAAGCGCCGTGTGGGGTAGATAAAGGCGGGTGGGTTTTTTTTTTATTTTTAATCCTCATTTAGACCATGAAAGGAACTGAGACCTGGAGAAGTTAAGCGACTTGTTTAAGGTCACACCATTATTGAGGTGGAGCCAGCACATGGTAGCAGCATTGGGGCCACCCAGACCCCCAAGGCCACCCGAGGCAGCTAGGATTTCAAACAGACGGTCCTGCTGTCAAATGCTTGATTAGACATCAAGAGCTCTGAGTCTAACTCTGGGCCAGGGGGGTAAGAGGTAGCTACAATGTCACCCAGGGTCCAACTCTGACCCCTCGTCTTGCCAGCAGTATGACAAAATACTTACGTTCCTCCAGCCTCAGTGCCCTCACTGTAAATGTGAATAAACCCTGTCCCATAGAAGGGCCATTCAATCCCCACCCACCTTTATAAAATGACTCAAGTCAAGGCCAAATTCATTCTTATCTGTAAATGATCATCACCTATATGTCTGACATCGAAATAACATATTCAAAGATCATAGAAAGTGCTCTGGAAATGACTGCATGCATAATTGATGTTCCTATTCAAGTCAGCCCATCACCCTTCTTGGTGGCGCCCTACCTGTGCAGGAGAGCCCCGTGGACAGGGGCTGGCGGAGAGCTGTGGGGAAAATAAACAAGAGGCATCAGACAAGTGACACTGATGGGGATGGACTGACCTATCAAACTTTCAACAAATGTTTGCTGAACACCTCCTCATGCCCAGCCCTGCCCCAGGCTAATTTGGCTCATTTAATACTCACAACAACCCTAGGAGGTTGCTCTTCTCATCACCATTCCCGGAAAGGACAAGGATGCCCATGACATCAGGGCTCATGCTCATTCCAGAAGCCCACCACGGCTTTGGAATTGCCAGTGAGATGCTGGCGGAGCCCTGGGCCCAGGTCCCCCTCCTGAGAAGTTCCCAAAGGGGTCCTTCTATTCAGGACATCACCCGGGCAACAATAGGGTCAGCTGAGAAAAACTGACACATTCTTGGGGAGGGAAACACTCCAGGTCGCTGGCATATTAACACAAGCAGAGACTTACAGGACAGTATTCATAGCAATAAGCACAAGCATAGCAAAGGTCAGGGGTGAATGTCCAATGCCCCCTCACTAGGGCATTGGATTAAGTCTTTAGCCAAGAGGAACAGCTGGTTGGTCAGTTCTGGTCCTCTTCAGCCTCCGTGGTCCTGGTCCTGGGGGGTCTCTGCCAGTGGCTGCTTGGTATGCTGGTGGGATCCAAAAAGGGGCGCTCCTGAGGTCTTCTGCAATTGATCAAAGGTTAAAGGAACCACTTAAAAGCCCAATTCTAGGTATTAATTAAAATTTAAATGAATTAATTATAACTAAAACTAATTAGTTAAAATTTAAAATTGTCCTTTAATTGCTCATGGGTCTGGGGGTAGTGGGAGGAGTGTGGCAGGGGCGGATTTGGCCGCCATGTTGTACATAAACCACCACAAGGAGGGGTTGCATACCATAAGGTGGAGATGAGCAGCAAGCACCTTGGCAGCAGCTGGGCATCGACAGGTGGTCCTTGAAGACAAGGAGGTGAATGGTGATGTCATCCCTGAAGAGAGAACCTATAGCATAGGAGGGGGCCATATTAGAAACCATCTTGATGACCTCTAATGGCCAGCACAGGAACAGCAGAGAGAGGGAGGGGGCAGTCAGAGGGAAAGGAGGGGGGAGCGGAAGAGAAAGGAGGAGGGAGGGGTGAGGAGGGAAGTGGGAGGGGTGAGGAGGGAAGAGGGAGGGGTGAGGAGGGAAGAGGGAGGGGTGAGGAGGGAAGAGGGAGGGGTACAGAGGGAGGAAGGAATCAGAAAGAGGAGGGGGTAAAGGGGGGATGAGGGAAACGGGAGGGGAGGGGGAAGGGGAGAAATGGGAGGGGTCAGAGAGATGGGAGAAATAGGAGGGGGAGGAGGGAGAGCAAAAATGGGAGGGGAGGAGGGAGAGAAGTGGGAGGGGGTAAGGAGGACTTGATTGACAGGACACAAGTGTTAACTATGCGCACGCGCAAACTCAAGCCGAATTTGGCGGGCTGAGAACATTTGCAGGCACCGACCGCTAGGGGGCGCACAGTCAGCTCCAGAGCCCAAGAGCACAGCCACCTGCGGAGGGCGCCTCTCGCCCCTCCCGTGCCTGGCCCGCAGCTGCCAGGGCAACAGCTGGCATAGGATGGGCGGGAGAGCGCCCAACAGGTCTCAGGCTATGAGGGTGGGCACAGCCCACCCCAGCTCATCACACAAGACCACTAAGTCCCCTAAAACGCAGGCACGCCATCACCAGCCAGAATCCACCTGTGGACATGCGGCAGCACCCCCACGCAACCGCCCAGAGGGCCTTCTGTGTCTCGCAACAGTGGGGGTCACCAAAGAGACATGAGGATATCAAGAAAACACTCGCCATAAGGGTCTTTCCAGAACATGATTCCACTTTTAATAAGTAAAAACACAGAAAGCTTGGCCCCGACCTTCGGTAAGTCCAATTAAACAAATTAAAACGTAAAAGATCCGGTTCTCAATACAACACTTTCACTCATTTCAGTGGTCTCTGGACACATGATACAAAATATGGTATTCTACAAAATAATATAAAGGCGGCCAAAACCACCGCAACTCATCCAAACCACCATTGCCTCCCTCCCCCCACCCCACCCCCAACCCCAATCTAGCCTCCCTCCCTTCTCCACAGCAAGAATTCCAAGACCCCGCACGATGGCGCCTAATTGACTACTGCACGGCCTCTTCATCCGGCTCAGATGAGCCACACCTTCCTGATATCCGAAAACCGAAAACCAAATGAAATAAACTAATCCGCGTCCACGCATTTCCACGACCCCCAAGTCACGCAACCAGTGTGGATCAGGGCATCTCCGCCCAGCGCGAACCCTGCAGCCGTTCCCCAGTGAACCTAGGGATCTTAAAACATTCCCCACTTGGGTAATGAATACAGAATTCTCCAGTAAATCTCATGCCTGACCCCCTCCAGCAGAAGAACAAAGGCCACCTCCCCTCCCCACCCCGCCCCCCAAAATTCCGCAGTGCCACCAGCGCCCTCTGGCGGCCATCAAGAAAACATTCCAGAAACCTGCCACGTAGCAACCCGCTAGCGCCCCCCACACACACACACACACACACACGCACGCGCGCGCTCGCACACACTCACACTCACACTCACACACACACACACACACACACACACAGCCCGCCATCCCTGAGTGGGGAGGGGGTGGTATGGGGGGGCTTGACAGGGACAAAGGAAATGGCAAACGGCGACTTTATCAAAAATCAAAAGCCCGCAACATGTCAGAATCTTCCAGAGACCATCACGCAATGCTGAAAGGACCCTCCGACCCCCAATTCCCAGCTCACGGCACCCAGACCTCCCAAACACACCCCCTTTTCTGCTTTTTCCTCTCTTCCCTCTTGCTTCCCAGACACAGCGTTCTCTCCACGCCAACCCACCCCCCTTTTCTACCCTGCCAGGACCCCCAATTACTGGGCCCTCCCTCCATCCGCCCTTCCTACAGAACTGATCGTGGGGGGCTTCTGGCAGGTTTGCACTTGGGCGCCATCTCTCTCCACCATTAACAAGGAGGTTTATCCGAGTGAACCCAGATGATATCGGTTAGAAATTTTACTCTTCGTTTTTCACTAAAGCGGGCTCTGCACTCAATCTGTGTGCTTGCCTCGGGAATCCCTGGCGGGTAAGAACCTCTACTCCTCACGCCCACAGGCCACCAACGTGCTCAGCAGAACCTGGGGGGTGGGAGGACTATGCCCAGGAGACCTTTCTCTTCGGGTGCTTTTCCCCCCTAATCCGCGGGGCATGCAGAATGCGTCGGCCGCCATATCTCCCACCATTTGTGGTTCGAAAGGTAGCTTTAAACACAGAAAATCGGGGCTTTGGACCCCAGTGACTACGGGACACGAGATTCCGACATGGGTTTGGGGCCGATTCCTCCCACTCCTCGTCATTTAAGCCTCCACCACCCTCCCTACCCTCATGAACTGGACGAAAATGGGGCCCTGATTCCCCCCCAAAAAAAATGTGCCTCGAGATTTTCCTTCCTGACAGCATTTTGTTGCCGATGCTTGGGACCAGGCGAGGTGGCCACCTTTCAGAGAAGGTCCCGGCGGTTGTCCTTCGGCATGTCCAGGAGGACAGCGGCCGACCCGGACGAGGGTGTAGCCTTTATTTTGCACATCCTTTCCGCCAAGGATGGCCGACGACTCACCTGGCGGGGAGATTCTCGCGTGGGCGCCCCGGTTCTTCGGAGGAGCTGCGGCCCAGGCCAGCAAGGCAAGGCGCGCTCCATCCAGCTCGTCGCCGTCTGCGCTAGGGGCTGGCTGGGTGGGGTTTATATCGAGGCGCAGAAGGGGTGGTCTCTGACGTCAGCGCATTCTGCTGCAATGCGCTCATTTCTCCAAAAGTGATTGGCTGGAAAAATGAGCCCCCCAGATTCTATGACAAATTGCTCTAGCCGCACCCAGATTGCAGCAAAGAAGGGAGGAAAAAATTCTGCCGCAGTGCCCCTCGCCGCCATGACCAACACCCAGTGCTCACGGGTGTTTTTTCCCTCCACGAGCCCGCTCGCCACCCGGGCCATCTGTGTGCACCGTCTTCCGAGAGAAGGGGACCAGGCGTGTTTTTTCGCGGGTGGGCCGAGGGTAGAGCGGGGCTCCAGGGGTGCTCGGGCACGCACCTGGCTTTTTCGGAACCTCTATTCGAGGAGGCGTCTTAAGGAGAGAAAAGGATGCTGCCTGCGTATTGTCCTGGAAAATCACATCCCGGGCAAGATAACCGATTCCCAACCGTAAATCCGCGCCTGCCACCCCCTGTCAGCCCACCCGCCCATTTCTGATCGGTTCCCTTTGACACGGGAGACTAGGCACACCGCGCCTTCAACTCCGAAAAATAAAAAATAAAGAAATAAATGAGGGGAAAAAAAAAAAAAAAACGGGTTTCGAGTCCAGGCTCTGCTGCTCTTTACAACCGGTGTACCCAGAACCTGCAGTACCCCCTCCTCTGCTAGGGGGCCCGTTTCTCCACGCTAACAAGGCGGTACCCCCTAACGGGATTGTGATAGGAACCTACGCCTGAGCTTTGTCCCTCTAGGGACAGGACTTTTCGGGGTCTGTGTCCCACCTGGAGATGAATGGGGTACCCCCCAAAAAAATGGAGGTGCTTTGCCCACACGTTCACTTTGGAAAGCAGCCCCCCACTCCCCCGCAGCGCCCCGGGAGACGGGCAGTGACACATGTTGCCGCAGAGCCGGGCCGGGCCCCCGGGATCCGATCCCTAACAGGTGGCGCTCTCGGCAGCTCGGCCGGGCACCGAGGGGCAGAGCGGGCAGGGCCGTCAATCAAATGTCCTCCCGCAAAGGTCAACACGCTGTTGAAAGGGACTAAGGATCTATCTTAGGGTGACAGGTGGGTGCCAGCCGGGAGGGCACGGATGAAGCGCCTGGTGACAGGAGAGGGGTGAGCATGAGTGATGGGTCCCCAAGGGGCAAGGGAGCGGGGCCCCGCGGGGGTATCGGGTTGGAACAGCGCCCCCCGCCCTTCCTGCAGGGCAGCTTCCGAGAGGGCCCTCCCCCCCCCCCCCCCCCCCGGGCCCCGCGGTCCTTCGAGGCGGCTGTAGCACAGACGGGGTGTCCTGGGGCAGAGACGAAGGGACAGGGCTGTTTGTAGAGGCCACGGCTAGTGACGGGGAGGTGACCATGGGCCACCAGGCCGCGGAGACACCCCGCGCCTTGGGCGCCGGGCTCGTGGGTAGATCCACGGGCGCCGAGGACAAAGTGGGCTTTGGGGTTCACGGCGGGGAGCCGCCCTAACGTGTCAGGTCATGGGAGGGAGGCAAGGACACCCCACTGATAGCTTGGGGGGCGTGCAAGGCGCCTCGGGGACGAGAGCCCCCCCAACAGGAAGGCCCGCGCCAACCACAGACGTCAAGAAAGCTTCAAAAAATCATGGCTCCGAGCATCCCCGTCAACAGGAGAACGTTTATTAGCCACGGTATTAATAGCTAGGAAACAGCCCGAGCGGCCCGGGCCAATCAGCGGCCAGGAGCCCCTGTCGTCAGGCCTGCTCGGCCAATCAGGCGCCAACAGGCCGAGTTGCTAGCCTTCCCGGGCAGAGGAGAGGGGCTTGCATTGTCACGGGGGCTCCAGCTCGCCCTCCACGCGTGGGAGGCCAGTGTGGGAGCCCAGGCAGCCACCAGAGAGCGTCCATCGTCACGCACTCGGGGTCCCTGGAGTCTGTCTTAGAGACAGTGCTTCCTGGCATGAGTCCTGCAGCCCCAGAGATCATGAGCTGACACTCTGGCAGGAGCCCCCAGCCTGGGTTGGGGTGCCTCCGGGAGGCCCAGTGGAAGGAGAAACTCCAGACATGCAATGCGCATCTCTCTCCAACAAGCTGGGCCCCACGAGGGGAGCGGGCCTCCCAGCGCCAAGTCAGCCTCTCTTGCTTTTTTTTTTTTTTTTTCTTGCTTTTTTTTTTCTGGGCTCCCTGGCTCCTCGCCTGCTGCTCTGAGGTTCACAGTAAACCCTGCTCCTCTTTTTCAGGGTCTTCACTGACAGGCCAAGGCAAAGGACCCTGGAAATGATGTGTTTCTGACAAAAGTGGGGCGGGTGTGCGTCCCAGCGCTGCCCCCTCCGATCTGGGAGGCTGGGGTCCAAGCCCTTCTCCCAGGGCCCCCTATGTCCTCATCTGGAAAAAAGAAAGAGTTGGACAAGATGGTCCCCAAGGAGCCTTGCAGCCCTGCTTTGCTTGATTTGAATGTATACATCAGGCGAGTCAAATGTCTTCCAGAACATTGTGCCTGACAGTAATTAGTATCAGGTGTGCCCTGCAGCCCATGTGGTTACTTCATCACGCCGCTTTTCTTTCCATTGTATTTTATTTTAAACAGAACTCCATGGCAACATGTGTATTCTTCTGGCTCCCTAAAAGAAAGGAAGAAAGAAAGAAAAAGATAGAAAAAGAAAAAAGGCTGCTGTAAACGGATCTCGCTGAGTGTGGTTTAACCACACTACAAAAAAATAAAAAATAAGAAATCCATATGTTTAAATGTTTTTGTTGGCTTTTCTGAAGCTCAGAACCTAACTTTTAAAATATTTATTGGTCCAAAGCAATGGAAGAAATAACTTAAAAGAGCCAATCTATGGTAATCTCTGGATCCCAACGGTTCCTCCATGCGGGCGGTATCAGGCATGCTTTCCTCGCTCGAAAAAGACCTTGGAGGCTCAGATTCATATCTAAAGGGCAGAACAGACGAGGAAATCCAGGTTGAGGAACGGCTCGCTGTCTTTTCTGTACATGCTGAAACCCAACTCTCCTGAAGGGCCCTGGAGGAAAGCCATGTCCCAGACGCACGGCTTAGCCTGCTGCCTTTTTTTTCCTTCTTCACGTAGATCTAATTCAAAGCACACATTTTTCTTCTTTTTTTTAATTCATACTTGGGAACCCTCAAAAGCCATGTGAGCGGTCTCCTATCCACATGTACATACTTGTGGGCAAGTGTACAACCGTCCTAAGATTCAGCCAGGAATGGAGGACAAGGTCCTTCTCTATCCATCTCCCGGGTGTGGGTCAATGCGCTCTCCTCTCAAAACTATACTGAGAGCTTTTACAGAACAGGAGCCCCTCTAAGCAGGCCTTTTCAGCCTTCTAGGTACTCTCACCGCCCCCGCCCCCTCAAAATCGTTGTGTTCCCCAGAGATCTCTCTGGACCCTCCTCTGAAACTCCTTTCAGTTGCTGGGCTGGGTGTCAAACAACAGTCCCATCCATATCCCAGGGTCCTGGGATTGATGGGGTCTTCTAGAATGCACACCAACCCACACAGCCTTTCAGGGACCTGATTTTGCCTTCAAAATAGAGGCTAACCTCTTTAGTTGGACATTTAAGGACTCGTGTGGTGGGCTCACTTCTTACTTCTTTTGGCTTATCCAACTTCAGCTCGTACCCAAATTCCCTTCAAGTTGTATATTTGGGGGGGGCCGGTCCCTGCTATGTTGTGATCCTGGGAGTGGGGAGTGAGGAGCACCATGGCTGCCTGCACGCTTCTGGACTTCTACCCAGGACCCCGATATCAGGAGCACTCTGCTCCCCTGAAACCTGAATTCTGGAGGCAGCGCCAACCTTTGCATAGAGGCGTATGCCGAATTGTAGATATTAAAAGACAAATAAAATTCGGCCTTTTGCAAAAGGCCAAGGATAAAGCTTACTTCCCGGTAGACCTCTGGGCTTCCAGGAAGAGCAGAGCAGAGCATGTTGACTCTGAGGTCCGTGTACGTGGGAGAGAGTAAGCATTGCTCCTTGGGGATACTTGTCATGACCACAGACAGGGAAAACGAACTAGAAGGTAACACCCCCAAACTACCCCGTAACACCCCTAAAAACCATGACTTGTTCTGGACAATAGATTCTGGCCATTTTTCTTTTATCTACTTTGATGGATTTCTTTATTGGCATATATTGCTTTCATAATGTACATTTTTCTTTTTAATGTAACAATCCAAGAAGACTGGGCCATCTGAGCCTCTTCCTTAGGGACCTCAAATATGTAATATTTTTCTAATAAGTAAATAAAAATCAAGACACTCCGGATACCCTGCCTGAGGAGCTCGAGGCACAGTCCCCACCAGGGGCTCCAGCGCGGGGCGTGCACCGCAGGGGCCTGGAGCCGGCCCCACAGCCACATCAGACCTCTGGAAGGCCTCTCTTGAACCCACCACAGAGGTGAACAATTCCAAGCTGGGAACGACAACAACAAAAAACGAGCTCCATTGGTTTCATTCCTGCAGGAGGGGCCTAGAAAAATCCATCGCCTAGGGAATGAGAGAGGCCAAAAAATGGGGTCTTGGCAAAGCAGACCAGCGCCAGGGGTTGGATTTTAGAAGAAGTCACATCCTGACACCAGGAAAACGCGGCCACGTCGCTCAGCCTCGCCCCCACAGGGCCCCCCTGGCTTTGGGCGTGGGCCAGCCCCGGATTTAAGCTAGGGGTTTTCTTGGCCCAACTCCATGGAAATATTTCCTTCGTGGAGCAAAGAACTGCTTCATTCAACTGCCTGCGGCTAGGGAGGGGGCTGGCTTTACTGTGTTGACAGAGAACGCAGAGGCCTGGGGAGGGGCCCCAGAGGAGAAAATGTATTCCAGGTAGAACAGGACTGGAAAGTTTGCTTTTAAAAAAAAAAATTCTTTTTTTTTTTTTTTTTTTTTCAAAAAAAACCCGAAAAGATTGCTGACAGTTGAAAAACTGCCACCCCACCCAAGAGGCTCCAAGAGAAGACATTTGTTTGTACTAGATTTCAGGGAGGACTACAGCAGGGACCTGTCTTCTTAACGGCAAAGGGAAGGA